TGGAATCTGAGCCACATCTAATTGTGTGATCTGAATTATCATCTGGAAGGGGTTGTATCCTGTCAGCATGCTTAATAATCCAATCAGTGAACTTTGGAGAGGATGCCAACTCAGCCACAGCATGTCAGGTTGATTCCTGGGTGAAATTCTCCCTCTTTTTTTGAAAACTTCTTTCTGTTGGGTGTCCTATGGAATGTTCAATAGTAATCCTGTTGATTTCTTGTCACCCCCTCCCAGTGGTCGGAGATATCACACCTGCAACAGCCAAAAACAAACTAATGAAACATGAATTAAAGGTCAATACCAATGCTATATATAGTATAATTTACACGAGTACCATTGTACTTAATAGACATTTTTAGAAAGATTGTCTGCATGAAACATCCTCAACAAGATTAATCCTCCCAACCAAAAACCTACTCTGTTCATTTCATTTTTATTATGATTACAATATCATGGTCAAAACCAAACCATGAAGAATGAAGAGTGGATCATAGGAGCTCTGAAACTGACACCACATCAGGCAATACAAGCCAATAAATGTCAAGAACACGAGATATTTCAAAAGAAACTGAATATTTACCTTGCCAAGTCAAGCATGAACCCCACTTATAATATACAAAAAAGAACATTGTTGTAAAGATAAAGATATAGAGAAAGTTGGAACAGTTTTAAAGAAACACTTACTGTTTGTTAATCTTTAATTCCCAATTTGTGCAACTACTAATGCACAAATTTGGATAAATTTATAAAAAACATAGGGTTCGTTTGGTTTGTATTTGTGAAAAAATTTTGGGAAATTTTCTCTACAAATAAGTTTTTAAAAGTAATCAAACCAAACAAATTTTCCGAAATTTTTTTTTCAAAACTTGTTTGGTTTACAAATTTTTCAAACAAATATCTCTCTCATACACATCAAATCAATCACTTTTTCCAAAACTCTCTCTCAAAATAATTTTTCAAAACATCTTTTGAAAAAAAATCAAACCAAACAAATTTTCGTACTTTTTATTTCAAAATATGTTTCTCAAATACAAACCAAGGCATTTATTTATTTTTTATAATTTTATAATTTTTTAACTTTATAATAAATTTTTCTTTGACTTTTGTCCTTCTATTTAATATTGCCAAACTTACCATCAATCTCTACAAATCAACGGGTCGCTTACCAGGCCTGTCAAATCTAATTAGCGTAGGAGTATTGTCTTAGCCATGTTCGAGAATTGGGCCTTTTTGGTTATTTAAGCTATTTTAGACCAATTAAAAAAAAGTTATGTTTGTAATGATTTTTAGTTTTTATTTTTATTTTTATTTTTATTTTTTTATAGTTAATTTGAAGGTTGTAAGATAAAAAATGAAATTATTATGATTTGAATGTGATATTTTGTCTCATTAATATTTTTTATATTATTAGCTATTTTAATCTTTTTGTGCTTCATAATATAATTTTTTTTTTTGTAATTTTTGTTTTCATGATTGCATGTACATAATAAGGTTTATTCAAGAAAAATTTATCTATAAATCTCATCTTTAGAAATGGTGATCAGATTAGTTCCAAAGATTTTCTTATAGATCAATTAGTCTTATTGATTTTTAAAATATAGATTTAATATATTATTTAAAAATTAAATTTACGGTTATATCCTTATTTCTATTATATTTTCTTTCTTTTTTTCTTTTATGTTAGAAAGGTAATATATACACAACCTATGATAATCAAATTTAAAATGAATTTTCATATGAGAATCTTTTTTATTTGGAATGACTTAAAATGTGAAATTTTTCAAACATTCCAAAAAGATATGAGATTTTTCAAATATTTCAAAAGGAGTATAAAAGAAAGTTTTGAGTAAATGTATAATTTTAATATGTAATACTCCAATGTAACACTCAAACATAACACTCCAATGTAACACTTAAAAAAAAAAAAAAACTCTTTATTATACACAGCACATTATTTTCAATTCACAAAATTGCAAATATTTAGAGTTTGAATTTATTGCTCATAAAATTGCATAATTTGCTGTTTCAAAACTACAAAAATTATTAGTTTGCTCGTTTGAAATTTATCAAAACACAATTTCATATTGCTGCGATGATGAAGATCACATATCAATAGTTTCTAAGGGTTTGTAACTTTTTAGTTTGTTAATATTTGCTTTTTTTATTTTTTTTATTTTTTATTTTTTTAATAAAAGGGAAAAAAATGCTAATCATAGAGAAAAACATAAACGTGTCTTTAAAATGTAAAAAATTATAGTTTTCAAAACCTGTAACTAAAATTAAAACTAAAACTAAAGAAATATTTATTCAAAACTTGAAAAATCTTTCCATTAAAACAATAAAATAAAATAAAAAAAGTGTATAGTAGAGAAAAAGAAGAAAAAGTGAGAGATCGAAGAAGGGAGATAGACGTAGAGAGAAGATTGTACTCCAACGACCATTTTTTATTTACATATGGCTGGATCTTATGTAGATCTAGTTAGATCTGGTTTAAATCTCATAGACAACGATGATGATGGAGCTTCAATCATCAATGGCAAGCGGAGAAAGACGGGGGAGTGTAAGAGGACACGAAGAGGGGTTCGCCAACAGCGAAGGAGGTGAGGGTGAAGCTAGTGAGGCGGACAAGCAGTTGCAGCAAGTTATCGGTGGTTGCTAAACCCAATCGTGTGGTAAAATTTATGGAATTGTAGTATTATTGTTTCATTTTTCGTTCCTAAAGTCCCATCTAAATCCATCTAGTGTATATAGTAGAACAGCACAACACCATGAGTATTCCAAATGTATAAAACAGAATTTTACTTCATATTGTTCCTTTGTTTCAAATAACAAACTATTAGCCTCAAATTACAAGTTGCCTATATCTACCTTGGCTGACCTGAGAGAGACAGATATCATTTGTCAACAAATGCAGACTCAGCTAAGTCAATGGCACGAGCAAGACCAGCAGCTTTGTTCTCACACTCTCTTTGCTCATCATCAGGAACACTGTCGGCTACAATTCCAGCCCCGGTTTGAAGGTAAGCCACCCATTCTTTGCGCTTGTTATCCTTGTACGAGTACATTGTGTCATAACGATTTCCAGTTGGGAATACAATGGTCCTCAGAGCTAATGCAATATCCATGTCACCAGCAAACGAAATACCGCCAAATCCACCAGCATATGGCCCACGCCTTGTTACTTCGAATTGATCAATCAACTCCATGGCCTTTACCTGTATGATGTCACAGCTGATAATCACAACATAGAGAATATGTATAATAGAGCCTGAGGGGATCATAAATTGAAAACGTAGGGATGAAAGGCATCAATATTTTATCTGAATAATAATAATAATAATAAAAGCATAAGAAAAGGCATTGATGTCACTGTCGAAGGCATGAATGTCTCTCCCGTTATAGATGCCAAGCAGGGCACTAGTAAAAAACAATTGAAGACTTTAAAACTAAATTTTACCTTCCCACTAAGCAAATCTCATAGGACAAGATCAGTCACCTTGAATGAGTGGAACTGAACCTACACTCTTACTTGAAGTCTCATAGAGCTGATTAGAAAGCTATTTTGCATTAAGAGACGTAAAGGCTTAAAAGATAGAGGTAGTGAAATCAATATATCACTAATTACTGGATTGTGTGAGATCCACGCATCCACAAGGTAGCAAAGACACAGAAGAACAATTCAAGTATTTGCTAATTTATCTCATAAGATCAGAAAATGAGGTCAACATATTAGCTCCAGCTGAATTCCAGATTGCTTCAAGAGTATTTCATCAATTGAAGAGCCAGAACCAAACAGAACAGGTTGACAACTAAAGGGGAAACAGGCAATGAAAAATATTAACCTTTGGTGCTCCACTAACTGTTCCGACAGGCAATGTGGCACTTAGGGCATCCCAACAAGTCAGATTATCGCGCAATTCCCCTGTTACCTGACACAGAAAAAAGAAGATGACATTGTTTATTTCAACAAAAGTTTCAGGTTGCTTTTTATGGAGTTCTTTTTTGTTTCTCCGTGAATCAATGAAAACCTCTTGGAGTGAAACAACAAAGGAAATACATAAATAAAAATATATCCAAATAGAAAAAAGCAATCAACTAAGAGGTACCAAGGGGGGCACAAACCATACATCTCTCTTTTATTTTGACTTTACTAAACCAGAATCAATATATATCAGGCATGCAAATATATGCTTAGCAAAAACCTCATCTCCAGAACAGGAAGACACAAGTTTCACATCAGAAACTCAATCCACATTTAGTTTAAAGCAAAATCTCACCGTGGAGCTGATGTGCATCACATGAGAGTACCGTTCGACATTCATGAGCCTCTCCACATTTACAGAACCGCATTTGGACACCTATGTCAACAATCTGAGTTAACTACACGAGTGGAATGCATTTAATGTTTAAAAGATGCACCAATTTTGAGAAAAGAAAGATGAAAATTGTACAGTCAATACTGATATAGGGATATATATATATATATATATTCATGTATGGATAAATAATCAAAACAATATAAATCATATCTAAAAAATGCAACTGACGATAACTGCAAGCAATAATGGGCACAACTGGCACCAAAATTCACCAGTATCCTAAATTTGCTTCCAGAAGTTTCATGCACGTGAGATTTGAAGGGCATCGAAAGAAGAAGCAACCAAATGGTAAAATTATAAATTAGTGAAAAAGGTAAATGATGACCTCAACTGACAATTGCCCCATCTGATTCATACTAACCAAGATCAATTGACCAATAGATGGCAAAAAAGACACTCCAAAAGTCTTAAGTAAACTTCCAAACAAGCATTGGCCAACAAAACATTGAGTGAATGTAATAATTCAGCTACTGTAAACTATAGATTTCAGCCGGAACAAGCATGAGAAAAATTCATATTGGTGCAACCACTACATTATAAATGTCCATATAAGTAGAGAGAATTTGAGCAAACCTTTCCAACATCATTCCGCCCCAAATCAACCAGCATGATGTGTTCAGCACATTGCTTTTCATCATTTAGCATCTGCTTTTCTAAAATCTCATCTTCAAGCAGTGTCCTCCCTCTTCTACTAGTCCCAGCCAACGGTCGACTAACAATCTTATTCTGTCAACAAGAATGGCAAAATACACAACCATTAGTCAATGTGTACAAAAGTAGCAACAATAAGCACTATATAAGATTTTGCAAACATCCAGAAGTAGCTAATATTCTAAGCTGAGAGAAGAGATAAAGTAAACTTTTGTAAGAATCTCATATAAAAGTAATCAGAAGTAAAATGCTTGATTATATATACCCTTTTTAGACGTGTAAGAATTTCTGGGCTTGAAGCAACCAGAATACACCCTCTAGCCTGATAGGATGGAAAAGAATTTTAAATGGTTAACTATAATTACAAAAAATAAAAAAAATAAATAAAAGGGAAATAGAAGGAAAAAAATAAGCAACATTGGACATTATGGATAGCTTTAGAGAAGATCATACTTGCAAGTAAGTCATATATGGACTTGGATTCACAACTCTCAATGCTCTGTAGACTTCAAATGGGTCAGCAAATGTTCGTCGTTCAAAGCGTTGACTTAATACAATCTGGAAAATATCTCCTGCAAAAATGTACTCTTTCACTTGCAGTACTGCATTCTTGTATTCTTCACTTGTCATGTTTGAGTTCTTCAGACAAGGACCGAAATGGTGAGTGTGTAAGTCCACAGCACCAGGAGACAGCCTCGGGCTAACAATTGGGAATCAAATAAAAGAACATGCACATAAATGTGAATGACTTTATGAAAACCATTATTCTTATGTTGAAAAGAGTTCAATGTTTACTCACGGATCAATATCCAGTACTCTGGAGGCTAACATTTCCAAGCGTCTCATTCCATCAACATAAGCCTTGTCAATGGAGGAGTATTGATCCAACCTAACCCAATGAATCACATATGCTTTCTGAGAATGCACAGGACACCCAAAAAGGCCTCAATCAGAGTTCTGAAAGAAACCCTACAGCCTTGATGAAGATAAAGCTGAGTGATAGTTACAGAACTTTAATAAGACTTGTTTGCATATTGATGATTATAGTTTTATCAGAACAGATTTGTGATCTACATATTTATTACCCCACCAAACGTTGAGAATGAATAAAAGGATTGAGTGAAAGTGAATTTACTCACTAATATGCAGAAAAAATAAAGCAGTTAGTACATGTCTCCATAGCTACTAACAAATAGATTGTACAAATTATGGCATGATACATGTAACAAAACTTCTTCCAGTGACACATGCATCTGACACTTAGCAAGTGGGAAGAAAAGGGGGGAAAAAAACACAGGTGTCTGCCATTCCATTATGTATTTTTGTGTAATTAGTCTTTGCATTAGGAGGGGCTCTTTCTAAGAACTTAACTGCAACATTTTCCAATCTTGAAAGGGATTTAGAAGAATAATGGCTTCAAGATGACTGGATTGGACATGAGAAGTGATGGAAAGACATAAGTACTTGAATTATATATTCTGTGTAAGATGTAAGACATTTTAATGAGTGAAGAGTACCTTCTCTACGTGATCAAACACAATCACGTCTTCGTAAAGGCCTAAATGAATATCAGCAAGATTTCTGTCATCCTGGGGTGCCATCAGGAATGGAAGCTTCTTCTTCTCTACATAGCGAACTGTATCATATGAGAAATAACCAACCCATCCACCTGTTCATGATATAACAAAATTCCTAAGCATGTCGTTTAACATTATATGAAGAGCGCTGTGTTATACCTAGAATAACCTCGTTTAATCATGAAGAATTTGCAAATTTTTCATATGATTTGAAAAATCAGTGGATCATTCATAACTTAATTGCAAAAATGTACAATCAATTTTTTTTTATAAAATATAACACTTCACAACTCATTCTACTGTTTCTAATACATTCCAAAATATTTGAGAAATGTTTTCGTTATTATTTACCACCAACCTCCTATATATTTCAAAAACTTTCACATTGCTGACTATTTAATGTGTCAGTGGTATGCCCTAAAAATTAATTTGAGAGATATGGTTGGGGTACTTTTATATACAATCTCTTATAATATTTAAAAAAAGTGCAAGTTCATATTATTAAGCTTACTTTCTGTGTTAATATTTGCATGATAAGTCCATAAAATTAAAGTTGAGAAGACATGTTTTTAAAGTTCCAAACAGGAGGCCTTCACTTTTTGATAGTGGGGCCTTGGGACACTAAAGCAAACATGTAGGCGCTTGTTAGGAAACAAATTCATTAAACATGACCACTCATGAATGTTTATATGAACTTTTTCCTTTTCTTTCAAATTGATGTTCATTAGTTACATGTGTGTATGTAATCTATACACCTATGAATGCTATGGTTGTCCTGTGTATGCATTGCTACAATTTAACAATACATTGTGTTTATGCTCTAAACATGAAAATATCAACACATAATAAATGGGCTTAATAAGAAACACATTGGATGACGGGACTTCTTTCTAGTACCCAAATTAGTCAATGTGAAACCCCAAACACCCTAGTGAACAAAAATAAATAAATAAATAAGACACATATGAAGGCATGTGAATGTTCAACAACGGATTTATCGCTCTCAAAAAAAGAAAAAAAAAAAGAAAAAAATAAGAAAGAAAGAATGTGCAATGTGATTTTATAGGACTAAATCAAGGAAGACTTAGACCAAGGCAAGGTGAAAATTAAAAAAGAGTTTCTAATTTCTCCAATAAGAGTTGATATTAGCTCGATTGGACTCATGTGATTGAGTTTGGGGTTTGACAAACATCCATGCTGTATTGACTCTTTTGGAAAATTGTATGATGGTATGGTTGGATTGCATGGAAATTGTTAACCGAACTGTTCATTTTGTAATATTCATACTATTTGGGTTAGTAATGGTATACTGCTAGGTGTCACTCATGGAGTGTAGAAGCCATAGAAAACTTCCCTACGAGAATTAGAAACAATTCTAATTCGATTAGGAAGAGTTGTAATTAAATATCAAATGTTGATATTATTTCTTGTATGGGAGCCAAATATCCGTCGCTATCCGTATTCCTCGTGTCCAAGCTGCACTTCACTCCGATCGACTTAAGAACACAATGAAAGTGAGCTACCCGGCGGTTTGCAACCGGAAAATCCCTCTGATGGTCAAGCTAGCACACTTAGAGAGAGAGAAGAGGGGAGACAAGGTTTTGTCTGTCGGCGAGTTTCCCACAGACAGCGCCAATTGTACCGGAGCCAAATATCCGACGCTATCCGTACTCCTCATGTCCAAGCTGCACTTCGCTCCGATCGACCTGAGAACACAATGAAGGTGAGCTACCCGACAGTGTGCAGCCGGAAAACCCCTCCGACGGTCAAGTTAGCACACTTAGAGAGAGCGAAGAGGGGAGACAAGGTGGTAGGTGAGTTCTGATCAGAGGATGTTCCAGACCTAAGTATGGGGGCGCAGCACCGTTTATATAGCTTCTGCGCGCGCTTCTGCATCCATTCCCCTCTGGACGCGTGGACCTGCTCTCCTCTCCCATTTCCCCACGTGTCAGCGCAAATACAGCTAAACACCACCTAACGAAACCACCAAACGGCATCGCCGTGTACGGACAGTGCAATCCCCTTCATACTGTCTCATGGCACCGCATAGTACTCTTGACCAAGCTACGCTTAGCACGAAGCCACGCCATCACACAACAACCGTGCTATTTGTCCGGTTTCTTCGATGGTTTAGCACCGTGGCCTGATCGAGCTTCTTAGCCACGACCAAGCTCTTTCTCGGTTTATCCTGATGTTGAGGACTAATCTCGTCCATCCCTGTAGAGCGCGCATCCGGCCCGGACCGGCAATCCACAGTTGCTCCAAATCAACAGGACTTACTCCTCAATTCAGTGTGCGCCCAACGCCCGACCGAGCAAGGCTCTTAACTCTGGCCCAAACCGGCTTGGCCCAATATTAGTTCGCGAACCTCCCTCTCAATTTATTTTACAGTTTGGAAAACTGTTTAAAACGTTGTTTCAAGGATGTGGAATTGGTATGGGTTCCTCGACAGATGAACAAGGCTGCTGAAAAAGCTTCCACACATGTTAAAGCAACTTTCTGATCTCTTGATGTCTTGGATGAAGAGATCGTAGCCATGAAGAAGATTCTTAGCGATGACAAAAGAATGCTGGTAGCATATGATGTTGATGAATAGAGCAAGCTGCAGTTATATCTCTGTTGTTCTCCTCTAAAATTGGAGCTGAAAGTAGATTATACCTGCTAAATGAAGCTCAAGCAACCTTAACTGTTCATTTTGTTAGTTTATATGTTTGCATCATATATTGATAATGCAATATTGTCAATGGAGGACGGGTCGGACTCTTCCATTCGTTTGGCATCAACTGGCCAGGCGCCATCTCTAGTCGGTTCAACACATCAACGATGATTTAGGGGATTGGAGGAAGCTTCCGAAGTATGTTTGCTGAGATATGGTATTCTTCCCATTCTTCTTCTACTCTCTCTTTTTTGACCACTATCTATCTCTGCTTCTCGACTACTTCCAACCTAACTTGATCGTCGGTGTGTCCACGGAGAGATGCCATCCCAATCTTTGTGCCATCCCTCCAGACCTTTTTGCAGGTGCGCATTAAGGACACGAAGGCCAGCAGACCTGTCAAACGCGTGGATCAGTCCAACCCGTCCTCCATTGATAATATTGCATTATCAATATATAATGCAAACATATAAACTAACAAAATGAATAGTTAAGGTTGCTTGAGCTTCATTTAGCAGGTATCTTCTACTTCCAGCTACAATTTCAGAGGAGAACAACAGAGATATAGCTGCAACTTGCTCTATTTATCAGCATCATATGCTACCAGCATTCCTTTGTCATCGCCAAGAATCTTTTTCATGGCTACGATCTCTTCATCCAAGACAAAGACCAGAAAGTTGCTTTAACATGTGCGGAAGCTTTTGCAGCAGCCTTGTTCATCTGTCGAGGAACCCATACCAGTTCCACATCCTTGAAACATCGTTTTAAACAGTTTGCCAAACTGTAAAATAAATTGAGAGGGAGGTTCGCGAACTAATATTGGGCCACGCCGGTTTGGGCCGGAGTTAAGAGCCCTTGCTCGGTTGGGCGTTGGGCGCACACTGGACCGAGGAGTAAGTCCGGTTGATTTGGAGCAACTGTGGATTGCCGGTCCGGGCCGGATGCGCTCTCTACAGAGATGGACGGGATTAGTCCTCAACATTAGGATAAACCGAGAAAGAGCTCAGTCGTGGCTAAGAAGCTCGGTCAGGCCACGGTGCGAAACCATCGAAAAAACCAAACAAGTAGCACGGTCATTGTGTGATGGCGTGGCTCCGTGCTAAGCGTAGCTCGGTCAAGAGTACTATGCGGCGCCACGAGACTGCATGAAGGGGATTGTGCTGTCCGTACACGGTGATGCCGTTTGGTGGTTTCGTTAGGTGGTGTTTAGCTGTATTTGCGCTAACGCGTGGGGAAATGGGAGAGGAGAGCAAGTCCACGCGCCCAGAGAGGAATGGACACAGAAACGCGCGCAGAAGCTATATAAACGGTGTTGCGCCCCCATACTCAGGTCTGGAACATTCTCTGATCAAAACTCATCTACCACCATGTCTTCCCTTTTCTCTCTCTCTAAGTGTGCTAACTTGACCGTCGGAAGGGGTTTTCCGGCTGCACACCGCCGAGTAGCTCATCTTCATTGTGTTCTCAGGTCGATCGGAGCGAAGTGCAGCTTGGACACGAGGAGTACGGATAGCGTCGGATATTTGGCTCTCGTACAATTTGGGTTAGTAATGGTATACTGCTAGGTGTCACTCATGAAGTGTAGAAGCCACAGAAAACTTCCCTACGAGAATTAGAAACAACTCTAATTCAATTAGGAAGAGTTGTAATTAAATATCAAATGTTGATATTATTTCTCCTATCGAGATAAGTGTGAACGAGGCATCAAAACGTGTAATCCAAATGAATAAAGACAGTTAAATTAACTATAGAGACAATTAAAGGGTGTGAACTTGAATGTAGGAATTGAATTTTTGCATTTGAAATATTTAATCTAACTATCTCTATAGATGGTTGTTATATATATATATATATCATAAATATGATCTAGGATTTACATAAATCATCAAAAATTTTAAATTCTGCTGTGCCTACCCGCAAAATTCTCGACATAAAGGTAGAACAAGACAGGGAGCCTTTGGATGAGAAAAGACTGGTGGAGGATTGATGGGGAGACCAGACATACTACATGATGAAGAATGTAAGATTATGATTGACACCATTGCCAAATAATCCTGATGCCTAAATTTGTCGCATTGTTCCAAGGTGGGCTTACTAATTAGAGACAACATAAATGCCCTTGATGCAATAGAATTCACTTCAAAAAGCAAGGTTAAACTCTGAATCGTTTGTTTGACCAACAAAGATACACTACATAATGAAGAATGTCAAATATTTATTGACACCGTTGCCAATAATCCCAACATCTAAATTTGTCGCATTGCTCTAAGGCGGGCTTACTAATTAGGGACGAAATAAATGCCCTTGATGCATTAGAATTCACCTCCAAAAGAAAAGACAAACTCTGAATCGTTGGTTTGACCGACAAAGATATACTATATAATGAAGAATGTCAGATTCTTATTGACACCATTGCCAAATAATCCCAACGCCTAAATTTTTAGCCTTGCTTTAAGGCGGGCTTACTTATTAGAGACGACATAAATGCCCTTGATGCACTAGAATTGACCTCAAAAAGCAAAGACAAACTCGGAATCGTTGGTTTGACCTACGAACTACATGGGAAAAGTTACCTTCTTTCTTTGATGCTCAGCGAGCATTTTTAGAAAGTAACATTTCCATTCAGTTCGTTTCAAAAAACTTGCTGGTTGCGGATTAGTTCGTTCGTCGCCGGTGGCAGCCCAAAATAAAAGGCACAGGTGGAAGCTGCATTCATTTATTAAACTTGACATGTGGTAAGGACTTACTCTCCTAGTGTAGTAGCTTGGCTTGGTCTCACTCTCTTCCCGCACTATTCCTCCCCACTAAAAAGAGCTTTCTTTGACAATCATATTCAAATTTGAAGTCATAAGTTCAGGTAAAAAATCGAAACACTTTTACTTCTTAAACATTTTTATGCACCAAGAAGACTATCAAACTACTAATACCAACAAACAGGATATTTATCTGGTTCTGTTTATTAAAAGCAATATTTAGACGTAACTAATGACGAATCGCTAACAATGACTCGATTAGCATGAAATGAAACAACATATATTCTGCAGCTGTTGTTCAACACTACTCTTTGCAAGCAGAAAGATACATTGTATCATTAAGTCTCCGTTTGTTTCGATGTAAAATATTTTACAAAAAAAAATTATTTTTGTTTTTCGGCATTTGGTTGACACTTGAAAGAAAAATATTTTATCGCGTAAAAGAGAAATTTTGATTCAATACAGTGTCATTTGTTACTTTTTAGTGAGCTAAGATATTTAAAAATACTAAATGTGTTGAAAAATTAGTGAGTGAAAGTCAACTTTACAAAAATTAACTAACCGAATTTTTAAAATTAAGTCATTTTTTAAAAAATTATACAAAATATTTTTCTTAAAAAATGTTTACGTACTTTCTGTTCAACCAAATAACGGAAAATGGGTAAAATATTTTTGACAAAAACATTTTAAGTCAAAACAAATTGAGCATAAATATAAATAAGGATTTGGCTTCTCTCCAATTGAACTTTCAATTAGATTAAATAGTTGAGATTTCTTACCGGTAAGAATCATTAAACGGAAGTTTCTTACCAGTAAGAGCCTTCCATTCAATGATTCTTACTAGTAAGATACTTCTGTTTAATGATTCTCATTGGTAAAAAATTTCAATTATCTAATCCAGTTAAAAGACCAGCCATATCTGCGGGAAATGCGTCTCCGGTGTACACAACATATTGCTGTAAAAGGACTGGAGGTGGATCACATATACATCTTCATTCAATAATTGTCTTTTAAAGGATTTGAACCAAACATGTCAATAATTAACCAGAAATAATACGGACTTGTGAGGAAAAAAATAATCAGCTTGTTTGGTTCTGTTTTTCAAAAAGTAGTAAATTCTGCCTTTTTTATTTTTTTTATTTTAATGTTTTTAATGAATTTTTTTAATAGTTTAAGATTTTTTTTTAAAAATTTTTGGCCAAATTACATATACCTCTCGAGATTTAGCAAAATTACAGATACCCCTGAGGTTTGAGAAATTACATATACCCCCTAAAGGTTATATTTGCATAACAAATTAGAGGGCAAATTGTTATGAAAATATAAATCTCATGGGGCAATTTGTTATGAAAATATAAACCTCAAGGGGTATCTTTACTTTCCGAAATCTCAAGGATATCTGTAATTTAGCTAAATCTCGAGGGAGGTATATGTAATTTGCCCTGCACCAAGAAGACTATCAAACTACTAATACCAACAAACAGGATATTTATCTGGTTCTGTTTATTAAAAGCAATATTTAGACGTAACTAATGACGAATCGCTAACAATGACTCGATTAGCATGAAATGAAACAACATATATTCTGCAGCTGTTGTTCAACACTACTCTTTGCAAGCAGAAAGATACATTGTATCATTAAGTCTCCGTTTGTTTCGATGTAAAATATTTTACAAAAAAAAATTATTTTTGTTTTTCGGCATTTGGTTGACACTTGAAAGAAAAATATTTTATCGCGTAAAAGAGAAATTTTGATTCAATACAGTGTCATTTGTTACTTTTTAGTGAGCTAAGATATTTAAAAATACTAAATGTGTTGAAAAATTAGTGAGTGAAAGTCAACTTTACAAAAATTAACTAACCGAATTTTTAAAATTAAGTCATTTTTTAAAAAATTATACAAAATATTTTTCTTAAAAAATGTTTACGTACTTTCTGTTCAACCAAATAACGGAAAATGGGTAAAATATTTTTGACAAAAACATTTTAAGTCAAAACAAATAGAGCATAAATATAAATAAGGATTTGGCTTCTCTCCAATTGAACTTTCAATTAGATTAAATAGTTGAGATTTCTTACCGGTAAGAATCATTAAACGGAAGTTTCTTACCAGTAAGAGCCTTCCATTCAATGATTCTTACTAGTAAGATACTTCTGTTTAATGATTCTCATTGGTAAAAAATTTCAATTATCTAATCCAGTTAAAAGACCAGCCATATCTGCGGGAAATGTGTCTCCAGTGTACACAATATATTGCTGTAAAAGGACTGGAGGTGGATCACATATACATCTTCATTCAATAATTGTCTTTTAAAGGATTTGAACCAAACATGTCGATAATTAACCAGAAATAATACGGACTTGTGAGGAAAAAAATAATCAGCTTGTTTGGTTCTGTTTTTCAAAAAGTAGTAAATTCTGCCTTTTTTATTTTTTTTATTTTAATGTTTTTAATGAATTTTTTTAATAGTTTAAGATTTTTTTTTTAAAAATTTTTAGGCAAATTACATATACCTCTCGAGGTTTAGCAAAATTACAGATACCCCTGAGGTTTGAGAAATTACATATACCCCTAAAGGTTATATTTGCATAACAAATTAAAAGGCAAATTGTTATGAAAATATAAATCTCAGGGGGCAATTTGTTATGAAAATATAAACCTCAAGGGGGTATCTATAATTTTCGAAACTTCAAGGGTATCTGTAATTTAGTTAAACCTCGAGGGAGGTATATGTAATTTGCCCTAAATTTTTAAACACACCTAACATAAATACATTTAAAAAATATAATATTTGTGAATTTTTTTTTTTAAAAAAAATCCTAAATACCAAACAATACCAAAAAAAATTACAAAAATTCAATATATTTTTTGTATTTCTATGTATTTATTAACTTTTTTTAAAAAAATATTTTACTATTTAAATATATTTAAGTAAGGTCCATCTAAAAAAATAAAAAAATATTTAAAATTTAAAAAATATTCACTAAACTAAAAATAAAAAAAAATAAAAAAAAAACGTAATTTTCAAAAAATTAAATTCAAAAAATTGAAACCAAAAGCATTGAATGATTTTTACGACATCATATTACCGCAAAATGTACTTGGAAGTTCATCAATAAGTTGGGGTTTCCAACTCTCTGAAATACTTCTTGGAATCGCCATTGGATCATCAACAACCTTCTTGGTCATGCACCCTTTCTCGTGGTCCAATATTGTAACCTTATTTTCTTTTGCCACAATTTCCATGGCTGGTTGAGCTGCAACCACGCTATAACGACCCTAAAAAAAAAAATTAAAAAAAAAATCAAATTTACGGCATTTAAATCAAACAAGTATAAAAATGAATGCATAAAAAAATTATAGATTCATTTTCAAAACAAACAAGTATATATATATATATATACTAGCGGTTGGGCACACACGATGTGTGTGCAAATTAAATAAACAGGAATAAAAGAAAATAATAATGAAATTAATGTTATAATGTGTACTTAGCTTAAGTGGTATGAGTCCTTATACTTAAACCTATGGTCATGGGTTCAAGCCTTGCCCATCTCTTTGTTTTTTTTTAAAAAAAAATAAAAAACACTGCCACATGGCATGAGGAGAGTTCAAGCCTTGCCCATCTCTTTGTTTTTTTTTAAAAAAAAATAAAAAACACTGCCACATGGCATGAGGAGAGTGAAGCAAGCTTCAGGACACCGTGTTCACTTTATAATAGTATAGATATAAATAAAATTTTTAAAAAAATAAAAAAGGCACTTACAACAGTTGAAGCACGGAAACCAGGCACCACCGAAGCTTGAGGACACCGTGTTCACTTTATAATAGTATAGATATAAATAAAATTTTTAAAAAAATAAAAAAGGCACTTACAACAGTTGAAGCACGGAAACCAGGCACCACCGACTCAAACAGAAAGCTAGGAGTTTCTTGATCATCTTCTTTGACCAAACATCTATAAGCAAGCACCGGAGTCAAGTGATCCGATAAAATGCATTTGTGAAGCGGAATTAAGTTTCCCTTTCTTGAAGCCTCGAAAAACTTTGTCTCATCCGTAACTGAACAAAACCAAACCACAACATTAAATTCAGCTGTAACTGAGAACCAATTCACCAACACAAAGAAACCAAAATTTCATATCATTTTACTTAAACCAAGTATTTCTTCTCCGCAGTGTTTGGTTAGGAGATTTGATAAAAAATTTGAAAATAAAAAAAGAAAAAAATAGATAAAACATGAATAAAATATATTTATATTTCACTAATTTCACACATTTTTTCTTTTTTTTTTCAAATTTCTCTCCAAATCTCCGAATCAAAGACAGCATTATCAATAGCATTATGCTTACGAGCAATTTTTCAGAAATTGGAATGATCCAAAGGAGCCGACCCGACTAAAATTTCAAAAAGAATTTTACAACACTGCTAAACCCGATTCAAATATTATATTTAAAATATATTTATATTTTACTTTTTTTTAAATGTTAGTACATAAGTGATTAATGATATACACGTTTTATGGCAGAGACATTTATAAAAAAAACCATCCACCTTTTCACTTTTGAATACATAATGGGAATACATATATATATATATATAGAGAGAGAGAGAGAGAGTAAGAAGGACCCAGAGATGGAGATTGGAGAGAGCAGCATTGCAGAGTACGGAGGGAAGGAAGAGGGCCCGGGGTTCTGCAAGGAATGGCGGTGACCGGCGACGGAAACAGCCGGTGGGTTGAGGGAGACAAACGGTGAGAAATGGATAGGGTTTGCATTTTCCAGAGCACTCTTCTCAGAGACGGAGAGAAGAGAAACCGGCGACGTGAGCGTTAAGGCTGTGCTCCTGAGAGACAAAAACACTCGGTGCTGTTGTGTGTTTAATGGCTCTATTTATTAGTGTAATAAAAGGAGGGCGCTTCATCTGGTTTTAATGCCACACTTAAATGTTTCATTTTATGGCAAATTACATATATCCCTCCAAATTTAGTAAAATTATAGATATTTTATGAGGTTTGAGAAATTACAGTTGCCCCTTTAAGGTTATATTTGCATAACAAATTAAAGGGCAAATTGTTATGAAAATATAAATCTCATGGGATAATTTGTTATGAAAATATAAATCTTAAGGGATATCTGTAATTTTCAAAACTTCAGAGATATCTGTAATTTAGCTAAATCCCGAGGGAGGTACATGTAATTTTCCCTTGATCTCTTAATAGTAGGATTTGTTTTGCCATTTAATTATTTTAGGCAAAAAAATTTTTTAAAAAAAGTAAAATTTTCCTTTTTATTTTAATGTGACAATTCTCAAAACAACTTTAAATAAGGTAAATATTATTCATAATTTTTTTACACGATGGCAATTTACACCGACAGACGTTGGAGATTACAATTATAAATTTATAAATTCATCTCTAATGAAATGATATGATAAGAAAGCTAGTTCTATATGATTATATGTGTAACAAATTAAAAATTATCATTTATCTTTTTATATTATTGTATATCAAATTATGAAATCCTTTTTGGGAATTTCAAATATTTTTCATTTTCCATTTTCACTTGTCTCTACTCTCCCGGTCTATTTTTTCTGTTGTAACGCGAAAGTATAGCGTTTCTTAATTATATTTATATTTAATTTAATTATTTTTAGATATAATAAAATTAAATAAAAAGTACTACAATTTTTATTTTTGATAATTCATAAATTATTACTAGTACCTCTATTTATTTATTTTTTAAAATTGACCAGTTCTCATGTCTAATTCTTAATGCAATGCATGATAACGCATCTCAATTTACATATGTTTGGTACGGGACTAAAATATTAAAATATTCAAAAAAATTTAAAATAGATTAAAAAGTCAATGATATAAAATATAACATTGAAATTATAATTATTTTATTTATTTATTTATAAAAATTTAAAAAAATTAAAAAATCTAATCCAAACAAGACTTTTTAACGTAAAGTAAAATATTCAAAAAAATCAATTCATTTTCCAAATAAAGCTTTTGTCCTCGAAAAACTTATTAGGGGCTCAAGTGCAAGGCTAGGTAATGGTTTATCAACATTTGATTCGTGGATGATTCCATGAGTGGACAATAAGGGCTCTGCTGGGGACACCCAGTGGGTGACCCCAGTGACCCTCATTGTCACATAAGAACTATCAGTGGTTGAAAATTAATAAAAATAAAAAATAAAAAAAATAAATTTTTAGGCAAATGAGAAGAGATCCTAGCACTGCCACTGAGGTCTCATGCATTTTCCGGACAATAACGTCCGAATATGAGGCCACCAACAAAAAGTTTGACCAATGACTACGAGGTTCGTGCACATGGTATTACCTAGATTAAACCCTCGTTTTGGATGAGAATTTTTTTGAAGTTGTGAATTAGTTTAATCATAAAAAAATGAAATACATTAAAAAATTAATAATATAAAATATCACATTTAAATTATAATTATTTTATTTTTTTCACAAAAATCTAAAAATTTAAAAAGTCTAACCCAAATAAACTTTTTAATTTCGGACTAAAATAATTGAAAAAAATAAATTCACATTACAAACGAAACCTAAATTTTTTTTTTTTTTTTTTTATTTGGGTGAATACTAAATTATAAGCTCTCTTCTACTTGTGATCTTAAATTATACAGGAGTTTAATTACTCTACCAAACTTAAAGGCGGATAGTACAGATATACGCATGCACTATCTTTGTCATTTGGGGAAATTATATTAATTTCCAAAAGTTTGGAGAAAATATGGAAAGTCTTACAAATTTTGTATAATTATATTGGGCTTTTAAGGTTAAATTCATATAATTTTTGGCTCATTTTTTATTAAAAATTCATTAGTTAAATAGATAAAAAAATAATTTTGTTATATTTTTTATATTGAAATGTATATTTTATCTTATTTATCTTTGTGTATTAACATCATTTGTAGTAATTTCGATTTTTTAACTTTTTACTAAAAGAAATGTCAACGTAATTATATTAAGATTGTGAGATTTATTGTATTTTTTTTTTTAAATCTCAGAAGAGGTCAGTATAATTGATATTTTTTATTTTGATTCGACATTACGTTGCATGAGCTACAATAACGCTACTTAAATTTTAAAAAACAAAAAGATTGGACACTAAAAGAAAAAAAAAATCAAAAATTTACTCTAATTTTCAAATTGATGACGTGTATTTAACCTTGTTATTGTGGAATTACACCATAAATCAATCCTGACATTTAATTATAGATTTTGAGTAATTTTTGAATTTATTTGTCTAGAATTAATGAATTGCTTTTAAAAAGAATAGATTACACTTACCCCCATGTGGATTGGAAATATCATAGTGGGTGTTTGAGAAGTAGGTTTTTTTATAGATTTTTTTAGTTGTAGGATATTATTGGAGAAACTTTTTTTTTGTGTTTGGGAAGATAGTTGGATTTTTTTGTTGTTGGATGTGATGTTTGTGAGAAAAAAAATGAAATGATTATGGAATTTGATGTGATATTTTGTTTGAATTTATTTTTTTTGATTTTGTAACCAATTTGTCTTTTAGTAGAAAAAAAAAACCAAAAATTCATCTTTTAGTTAGTCTCATATTTTTGATATAAGGCGGAAGACGGTGGTGGAAAATGGTGGCAGGTGGTGGCTAATGTTGGGTGATAAAAAAAAAAAAACTGAAAACTCAAAATGGAAACACATTTTTTGTGTTTTCATTTTTTGGCCAAATTTATAAACTGAGTCCACTTATTTATAAATCAGAAATTTTACCAAACAAGTTTTTATTTGAGTTTTTAAAATTTTTGTAAATATAAACAGAAAACTGAAAACGTAAGTGTTACCAAACGGCACCTAAGAAATTAATAATATAAAATATCACATTTAAATTATAATTATTTTATTTTTTCACAAAAGTCTAAAAATTTAAAAAGTCTAACCCAAATAAACTTTTTAATTTCGGACTAAAATAATTGAAAAAAATAAATCCACTTTACAAACGAAACCTAAATTATTATTATTTTTATTTTATTTGGGTGAATACTAAATTATAAGCTCTCTTCTACTTGTGATCTTAAATTATACAGGAGTTTAATTACTCTACCAAACTTAAAGGCGGATAGTACAGATATACGCATGCACTATCTTTGTCATTTGGGGAAATTATATTAATTTCCAAAAGTTTGGAGAAAATATGGAAAGTCTTACAAATTTTGTATAATTATATTGGGCTTTTAAGGTTTAATTCATATAATTTTTGGCTCATTTTTTATTAAAAATTCATTAGTTAAATAGATAAAAAAATAATTTTGTTATATTTTTTATATTGAAATGTATATTTTATCTTATTTATCTTTGTGTATTAACATCATTTGTAGTAATTTCGATTTTTTAACTTTTTACTAAAAGAAATGTCAACGTAATTATATTAAGATTGTGAGATTTATTGTATTTTTTTTTTAAATCTCAAAAGAGGTCAGTATAATTGACATTTTTTATTTTGATTCGACATTACGTTGTATGAGCTATAATAACGCTACTTAAATTTTAAAAAACAAAAAGATTGGACACTAAAAGAAAAAAAATCAAAAATTTAATCTAATCTTCAAATTGATGACGTGTATTTAACCTTGTTATTGTGGAATTACACCATAAATCAATCCTGACATTTAATTCTAGATTTTGAGTAATTTTTGAATTTATTTGTCTAGAATTAATGAATTGCTTTTAAAAAGAATAGATTACACTTACCCCCATGTGGATTGGAAATATCATAGTGGGTGTTTGAGAAGTAGGTTTTTTTATGGGGGATTTGGTCATTCTCTTTCAAAAGGACAAGAAAATATAAGTACTTTCAAAACCCCCTGATATTTTAAAACTTGTTTCTTTTACTATATTACCCTCATATCTATCAGTTCTCTTATTAAGACATTTTCACTATGTATTTCAGAGTAAAATTTTACTCTGTATGAAAGTAAAATTTTACTCTGAGCCTCCGTTTGGGAAGTGGGTTGGCTTTTTGGCTTTTTGGCTTTTTTGGCTATTTTAGCCTGGGCTTAAAAGTTTGGTTTGGGAAGGGCTTTTTGACTTTTTGGCTTTTTTGAGTTTTTTTGTGAGAGAAGAATGTAATGATTATGGGTTGGATGTGATGTTTTGTTTGTTATGGCTAAAATAGCCTATTTTGTCTTTTGTGGCTAAAATAGCCAAAAAAGCCCAAGAACCAACTTGCCAAACAGAGGCTGAATGAGAGTAAAATTTTACACTCTGAAACTAAAAGTAAAATTTTACTCTATATGAAAGTAAAATTTTACTCTGAATGAGAGTAAAATTTTACACTCTGAAACTAAAAGTAAAATTTTACTCTATATTTTAAAGTACCTCCCTGACATACATTATTTTTGTTTCTATCTCTACCTATCTCAACCTATCTTTATATATCTCTATTTTGTCCATATATATAACAAAAATATTAGAGGGCTCAAAAATTCTACCAAAAGTTCTATCAAAATCTCACACGAGTGTGGGACTTATATGGGACCTACATTGTGTGGGTCCTACACCCATGTGAGACATTTAGTAAATTTTTTGATAGAATATTTGGGACCTCTAACATTATTTTATGTATAAAATTCTAAATCTATCTATATTTTGTCCATATGGGTGTAAATTTGGCCCGAACCAACTCGGTCCAGCCCATGTCGAGCCTCCAGGGCTCCAGCCAAAATTTGGGCTTTGGTCGGGCCGGTAGGAAGGGCCTCAAGCTCGCCCAATGGGCTTGAGCCTGGGCTTAGCCTTGGGCTTGGGCGGACTAGACTATTTTATTTGTTTTTTTAAAAAAAAAAAATTTCTACCAATATTTTATTACTTTTCACTAAAAAAGACACTGGGCCTCAGGC